TCTTCTGTATAGTTCTTTTATTATTGATTTCATTTAGTTTTGCTGTGATATTGGTTATTTCTTTTCTTCTGTTGAGTTTAGGACTGGTTTGCTCATCCTTTTCCAGTTCCTTTAGATAATTCATTAGACTGTTTATTTGTGATCTTTCTGTCTTTTGGATGTAGGCATTTATGGCTATGAATTTTCTTCTCAGGATTGCTTTAGCTGTATCCCACTGATTTTGATAACTTCTGCCCTTTTATCATTTAGTTCAAAGAGTCTTGTGATTTCCATCTAATTTCCTCCTTGACCCAACTATTGTCCAGCAGTAGGTTGTTTGGTTTCCACGACTTTTTGTAGAGATGAATGTTTCTGTTGGAGTTGATTTCTAAGTTTGTTCCACTGTGGTCTGAGAAGATACATGGTATAATTTCTATTTTTTTAAATTTGTTGTGACATGTGAGACATGTTTTGTGGCCTAGAATATGATCAATCTTCGAGAATGTTCCATGAGCTGGTGAGAAGAATGTGCATTCAGTGGTTTTGGGGTAAAATGTTCTCTAAATGTCTATTAGGCCCATTTGTTCTAGAGTTCTGTTTAAGTCCATTTTTTGTTTGTTTGTTTACTTTCTGTTTGGAGGATCTGTACAGTTCTGTCAGAGGCGTGATGAAGTCCCCAGGTATTATGGTGCTGCCATTTGTCATTTTGTTTAGATCAAGTAGGATTTGCTTTATGAATTTGGGCATATCTGTGTTAGGTGCATAAAAATTTAGAATTGTTATGTCTTCTTGTTGAATTGTTCCCTTCATCATTATATCATGGTCATCTTTGTCTTTCTTTACTTTTGTTGATTTGAAGTTTATGTTATCTGATATGAAAACTGCTACATTGGCTTTCTTTTGGTTTCCATTTGCATGGAATATGGTTTTCCATCTTTTCACCTTGAGTCTGAATAAGTCATTGTGAGTTAGACGTGTTTCCTGGAGACAGAAGACAATACTCTCTAAGTGTATTTTTTTATCCATTCAGCCAGCCTGTGTCTCTTGAGTGGAGAGTTTAAGCCATTCACATTTATTCAAAGAATTGATTAGTGGGGTGGATTTCTGTTCTTCCTATTGAGTAGGACTTTATAGCTCTGTCTTACCTCTTGAACCATTGTAGTGAATGGCCTCTGACCTTTAGCTTTTGGGGGATTTTACACTGGTGGGAGTTTATTGTCTGATCCATGTATAGTATAGCTCTGAGTACTTCCTGCAGGGCAGGTCTGGACTTGGAACAAACCCTCAGCATTTGCTTGTCTGGAAAAGACTTAATTTTTCCATCAAATGTGAAACTTAGTTTTGCATGATACAAAATTCTAGCCTGGAAGTTGTTTTCTTTAAGATGATTGAAGATAGGGGTCCACCGCCTTCTGGTTTGTAAGGTTTCCACTGAGAAGTTTACTGTTATCCTGATGGTTTTTCCCTTGTAAGTCAGTTGTTGCTTATGTGTAGCTGCTTGTAGAATTTTCTCTTTCACTTTGACTTTGGCCAAGTTGAATACTATGTGTCTTGGAGATGTTCTATTTGCTATGAATCCTCCTGGAGTTTGGTGACCATCTTGTATCTGGATGTCTGGATCTCTGGCAATACTGTGGAAGTTTTCCATAATAATTCCCTCAAATAGATTTTGCATGCTTTTAGCACTTTCTTCTTCTCCCTCAGGGGTACCTACAATTTGTATGTTCACTTCATGTAGTCCCGTATCTCTCTAAGTGATTGCTCTGCCCTTATTGTTCTCTTCTCTGCCTCTTTAAATGATTGCATTAGCTTGAGAGCCTTGTCTTCAAGCTCTGATATTCTTTCTTCTCCTTGGTTTAATCTGTTGCTGAAATTTTCTGCTGCATTTGAAAATCCCCAAAACATTTTCATTTTTTTAAGTTCTATTATATCCTTCTTAATTTTGTCAAGCTCTTTACTGCCTTTTTCATTAATTTCCTGAAGCATTTTGGGGGCTTCTTTTGTTGGTTTTCAACTTTCTCTTCAATTCCATTCATCTTATTTGCCATCCATATTTTGAATTTCTTTTCCGTCATTTCAACAATTTTCTTGTAGTTGGAGTTCACTGCTGTAGCTCCATTGTGATCCCTTGGGGGTGTTGATCTGTTTTGATTTTTCATGTTGCCAGAGTTCTTTTGCTTTTTTCTTCTCATCTGAACCCTCTTTTCTGAGTTCCAGGTTACTAGGTTTTCAGGACTCCTATTCCTTTTGGGACCTCTCCAGATAATTGTAGGATGTTCAAGTTGGGAGCTAGACAAGACTCTCTTCACTCAGGCTGCTGTTGTAGAGATTGCTTTACCCAGGGTTTCCCCACAGAGGTAACTGTAGCAGCTAGATAAGGTTGTTGTGGGTTCCTGGGTTGTGGAAGATTGCTCAAAGCAGTTCACAGTGTGCTGGTGGCTTGAGGATGAGGCTCTCTGGCAGCACATTGGACTTCGGAGCAGCTCTTCAAGCCTTGGTTTGGTGGTAGAGGCAAGGCTCTGGGTTGTGATCTTGGGGTCCAGATGCAACACTGGAGACTTGGGGATGGTATGTCAGGCCTGGCAGGATTTCTGGAATCTCAGGGGCAGAGCCTCAGGCTCCATCATGAAAGCCTCAGAGCTGAGACTGGGAAGGAGCCATAAGTAGAACCTCCCAGCAAGGTCCCTGAGCCAAAAGTTGGGCTATGCACATGGCCGCTGATACAATCTGGAGGTCAGGATTGGGGTCAAGTAGGCAGGAGGCAATTGAAGCCCAGAAGGTGGAGTTGGGACAAGCAAGCAGCTGGCTGGTTACAGGCACCAGGGTCCCGCTAATGCCAAGTTAGGCGGGCTGTTGTTGGCTCCAGCAGCCCAGGGACTGTGGAGCTTTCCAGGCTCTTCTTGGAGCCTGCTGAAGCAGCCACACCAAGCCTCTCAGTTCAGAGCCTGCTGCACTCCTGCATGAGAGCCTCCAAGCCAGGACTGGAGTGGAGCCAGAAGCAAAGCCTCTGAGCAGGGTTTCTGAGCCAGAAGTGGGGCCATGTAGATAACAGGATGACCAGACCTGGAGTGGGGGATCAGGGCTGGACAGGAGGTGGCTGGGGCCTGAAGGGCAAATTCAGGGCCAAACAAGCTGCAGGCTACTTCTTAGGCACAAGGGTCTCATGGATGCCAGGTCAGATGTGCAGAGGTAGTATCTCTCCATGCCCACCCAGAACCCTCCAAAGCAGTCACCCAAGCCTCTCAGATGAGACCCCACTGCTCTCTGCTCAATTCCCTTGCCCAGGTCCCACTGCATTCTAGGAGAGAAGCTCCTGGCTTTGAGTTCCAGGGTATGGTTCAGGGAAGCCACAAGTCGGTCTACTCCCTCCCCAGCCCAGTGTAGACCCAGCATGGTGCACCCAAGAGTTCAGGGTGGCTTTAGCTGTTGCCTGATCCCCGCAGCACCTGTTGTCTAGTGTAGCAGCTCTGCACAGAGTCCAGGCATGACCCTGTCTGAGCAGGTAAGGAGATCTTTGAGGGTGGTGTATGCCATCTTATAGTTCAGTCCACACTGCAACAGGAGGGCGCACTCCCGCACTCTATTCTCCTAATGTTCTCCTCATGTACTCTAATCTTTTTATATGTTTTACTCCATCACCTTTTTTCCCCACACTGAGTGTCCCACATTGGTTCTCTGTAAATTCACGGCACTGCTTCCAGGATGAGAGATCTGTGTGTGGGCAGCTGCCTGCACCTTTCACTTCTTTCTTTGGGAGCAGCAAGTTGGCATGCTGCCTCTGGTCCAGCATTTTTCCCCCCTCCAAAAGTTTCAATTTCAAAAGCTGGCTGTTTCAATTTGGCCCAGAATCAATTTCTGATTTCTTAATTCTTAAAAAAAAATCACCTGCTCTTCTTCTCATATACAATGAATTTCATGGTTTTTTTTCCTGAGCTCCAATTTATTTTTGGAATTGTTTCATTTAGCATCTCTAATAGGCAAGTGTCTAAGTTTTCCTGGATGTGTTAATATCACAGCCCTATGCATTTTTTCCTTGACTCCTCATGATATTATATAACCTCTCCCTAATATTCTCCTTAGCCTCTAACAGATAGTATGTAATTCTTCAAAATTGAGGCAAGAATTAAGACCATTAAATAACATTATTTTTCATCCTAAATCTCTGATCAGATTTTGTAACCAAAATGATATCCTTACTTTTTAAGCCAGAAATGTTCATTGGTTTGAAAGATACCTGGTTGATACTTTTGGTGTTATTTTTTAATTCAACAAAAAGGAAAATCAACTTTGAAGGAAAAGAGAAAATAAAATTATTAAACACAGTAGTGAAGTCAGAACCTGAACAGTCTTCCAACTTTTGGCCACTGGTGTATGTTAGTGTAAATAAGTAGATATGAACTTTAAATGTCTTGCATAGTGTGCTTCTCTAAAATCATTCTGGTTTATGATTACAGATGAATCAAATATGGAACTGAGGCTTGTGGGTGGAAGCAGCAGGTGTGCTGGAAGAATCGAGGTGAAAGTCCAGGGTGCCATGGCAACCCTGTGTGCTAGCAGCTGGAGAATGAACGTTGCTAAAGTTATTTGCAGGCAACTTGGATGTGGGTCAGCAGTCAGTGCCTCCATAGAGCCTAATTTCACAGGAGACACATTACACATGTTGCATTTTCAAATTAGCTGCACTGGAAGTGAAGCCTCCCTCTGGGACTGTGTACATTGGAAGTGGTCACGGTGTTTTTCTAATATGGAAGCATATTTGATCTGTTCAGGTAAGTTTTGAACAAAGATATGTACATTTATTCAATTATGTATTTTTTCATTTATTTAATAAATATTTATGAAGTGACTACTTAACAGTACTGGGTCAAGGGTAGACGAAAGGAGAAAAGTAGCCCTACCCTTCTATCTAGAAGACAGGAGTATAATAAAAATATATAATAAAATAATTATTTGCTTAAAATTGTAAGAAGTAGAAGTACAAAATGAAAGGAGAAGGCATAATTAGAGGATATTACCTATTTGTAGAGGAGAGGCTATTGGATGCTGGGAGTCAAGTTATTAAATAATTCTAATAAAGGTTAGTGAATTTTGATTAGGATGTTCACTGTGGAGCTGGTGAAAAGTTAAGAGGTTCCAGAAATATAGAGTTGCTAAAACCACCAGAACTTGATAATAGTTTGAATGCAAGAATACAGATAAAGAGGACCCAAAGATCACTCCAACATTTCTGGACTAAGTGGGCAGACATACTGCAGTTTCATCATCTGAAAAGAATCCTGTACTGTGCACATGGCCACTGACACAACTTGGAGGTCAGGGTCAGGGGCAAGTAGGCAGGAGGCAATTGGAGCCCAGAGGGTGGAGTTGGGGCAAGCAAGCAGCTGGCTGGTTGCAGGCACCAGGGTCCTGCTAATGCCAAGTTAGGCGGGCTGTTGTTGGCTCCAGCAGCCCAGGGACCGTGGAGCTTTCCATGCTCTTCTTGGAGCAGAGGAGCAGGTTGAAGGGAATGGGGTGATGATGAGTCCAGTTTTGTATGTGTTAAGTCTGAGGTATTTGTAAAACAGCCCAGTGAAGAGGACTATAGGCACTTGGACATAAGATTTAGATGACAAGAAGACTGATCTTAAATGGAGGTAGAACTATTAGAGTCCTAGATATGTGGATGGAAACTAAAATACAGGAATAAAATGTAAATCCAGAATTTTACAAACCTAGATCCAAGAAAAGGAAGTTCTTTGCCCTGAGGAACAACAATATTTAATAGTTTATTGACATAAAATCAACTGGAAAAAGATACTGAGAACTAGTCGTTAGAGAATGTCGTGTCACTAAAGGGGAAAGAGGATGTTTCAAAAAGGAGGGAATATCAATTCTGACCAAAAATATATTAAGAAGAGCCAACATAGATGAAACTGAACATTTTCTACTAAATTTAGCAATAAGGAAATCATTAGTAAATTTAATAAAAGCAATTTTGTCACATTAGAAAAAGATCAAGTTGAGAAAGTAAGACTGCTAGGATAGTAGGTATACACTGTTTTCCGAAAAGTTGAATTTTAAAGGGAGTAAATAGATAAGGTGATGACTAAAAAGGAATGTAATCTCCAGGGAAGTTACTCCATTTTTTATTTGATAGGAGATTCTGGAGTAGTGCCGTTCAATAGAACTTTCTGTGATGAAGTAAAATAGATATTAATACTATTAGCAGATGTTAAGGGCTATAGAAAAAAATAGAACAGGAAAATGGAATCCAGAGTGCGTATGGGACAGAATACAATTGCAAACAGGATGGTTGAGGATGGTACTAAAAAGGTGAAACTCAAAAGACTTGAAGGAAGTGAGAGAGTCTGCTATATGCGAAAGAAAAATACAGGTAGAGGAAACAGCCAGCTCAAAAGCCCTGGTGCAGGATTGTGCCTGATGTGTTTGAGGAAGAGGACAGAGCCCAGTGTGAAAAGCAATGAGCAGAATAGCAGGACGCAAAGGGGCAAGTGGGTAGAAGTCCCTCAGGGACAAGTAGGTCTTTGCAGGAGTTTAGGCTTTTACTCTGGGTGAAATGTGGAGCCATTAGAGGATTCTGTGCAGAAGACTAATCTAACCTGAATTATTATTTTAAATGACCTCTCTGGCTTTGTATTTTTAAAAATTGAACTGTAGAGGAATAATGGTAGAAATAGGGAATCCATAGGAATCTACTACAGTGATTCAGGGAAGTGATGATGGTGGCTCAGTCCAGGCCGTAGCAATGAAAGGGGTGAGAAGTTTGGGAATTACGGACATACTTTGAAGACACACAAAACAAAACTTTCTGAGGAGTTCTAAACCTAGGATTGGTGTGTCACCAAAACACAAAAAGTAAATGTGTAATCCAGATCTATGAACCAAATCTGTACAGCAAAGATATCGTTCTCTGATCCCCTGCAAATGGAGCGTTCCAACGATGCATGGAGAAAAAGTGCCCTGGGGTTAGATGCAGAGACTGGAGACAGATACATATTGAAGAACCATAAAAACTAACCTTTAAAATATTATTTTGTAGCTCACAGGCAGCCCAGGCTGGTTGGATCTGACAGTCCTTGTTTTGGACGTGTTGAAGTGAAACATGCAGACATATGGAGCTCTGTCTGTGATTCTGACTTCTCTCTCTCTGCTGCCAATGTGCTGTGCCGAGAATTAAATTGTGGAGAGGCCATATCTCTTTCTGTGGGAGCTCACTTTGGAAAAGGGAATGGCAAAACTTGGGCTGAAAAGTTCCAGTGTGAAGGGAATGAAACTCTCCTTGCACTATGCCCCACAGTGCACCATCCAGAAGACACCTGTCACCATGGCAGAGAAGTTGGAGTTGTCTGTTCTCGTGAGATTTTAAATGACCTTAATTGGCTGGGGCTAGAGAAGGGAATATGGGTCTGGAGTTGAAAAGCTATGGTCTCTTCTCTAAAGCCTTGTCTCCTCCTAGGGTATACAGATGCCCGACTTGTGAATGGCAAATCCCAGTGTGAGGGGCAAGTGGAGATCAAGGTGCTTGGATACTGGGGCTCCGTCTGTGACACCCACTGGGACCTGGAAGATGCCCATGTCCTATGCAGGCAGCTCAGCTGTGGGGTTGCTCTCTCAACCACAGGAAGAAAATATATTGGAGAAGGAAAAGGTCATGTTTGGGGGCACAAGTTTCATTGCTTAGGGAATGAGTCACTTCTAGATAATTGTCCAATGACAGTCCTTGGAGCACCTCCCTGTACCCATGGAAACACTGTCTCTGTGACCTGCACAGGTAAGAGAACAGTGCTTCTGGTTACCTGTTGGCAAGGTAGCCCAGACATGGTAGAGGGAATATGGTATTAAAGGAAATATGGGTAAGAAAATGGGGGGTTGGGGAGGAGCAAGTCATGACAGTCAAAGAGTAACATGTAATAAATAACAATAACTGGGGCCACTCCTAGGGCACAGGTAACACTCACCTCTCTTTGGGGTTTACAAGTAGATGTTATTCATAAAGACAATTTTAATTGACCATAAGGTTTGAAAAATCCTTACCACGATTGCTTATTACACTTTATCATAGAATTCTTCAAACTTTTCCATGTATTTTGATTTACTTTTGCCCCGTTTCCCGCACCTCCTACCAGGAAACCAGACCCAGCTACAGTTCCCATGCCCTGCAAATCTATCTGACCCATATTTGCCTGCTGTTCCAGAAGACGGTGCTTTCATCTGCTCAGGTAAGTGAATCAAACAGTCTTAGAAAATGCTTTGCAACTCTAAAGAATGTAACCTGTTACCTATTCTTCCCCTAGGGAGCAGACAGCTCCGCCTGGTGGACGGGGGCGGTCGCTGTGCCGGGAGAGTGGAGATCTACCATGAGGGCTCCTGGGGCACCATCTGTGATGACAGCTGGGACCTGAGCGACGCCCACGTGGTGTGCAGACAGCTGGGCTGTGGACAGGCCCTGAAAGCCCTGGGCTCTGCTCACTTTGGGGAGGGGTCAGGGCCCATCTGGCTGGACGACCTGAACTGTACAGGAAAGGAGTCCCACGTATGGAAGTGCCCTTCCCCGGGCTGGGGGCAGCACAACTGCAGACACAAGGAAGATGCAGGGGTCACCTGCGCAGGTCTGAGCTGCAGCCCTTGCACCCTCTTCTACACACACACACATACACACACACAACACAATGATAAAGCGTAGGGAAAAC